TCACCGACAGGCCTGGGTATTGCACAAAGTTGCCCACCCGGTATGGAGGGCAAACTGGGTAAAACAGGGTGCAGGCCCAGGCCCCACAGACGCAGTCCAGATTGCAAATTCGCACATGGGCCTGACAAGGGCGAAACGCAAAGAATTAGGCACATAAGGGCATTCCGCTCCACACACATCTTTTAGGGGCATTTTGGCATATATCTCAAGTTATAGGGGTATTTCACAAATTATCTGAAAAAGAAAAAGGAAAAAAAAACGAACGGCAGCCACACAAAATGACGCGCAAAAACGAAAAAAACAACAACAAAAAACAAACAAATGGCGCCCACACATATCGGAGGGCTCTCCTCCGAGATGTTCTTCCGCATGGACGCCCGCCGTGTGCCCCGCTCCGGGGGCGCGGCGCACTGTGAACATTTTGGTACACTCGTCTCTCTGCACTCTCCCCCGCCCTCTATCTCCTTCATCCACCGCACCTCACCAAGACTCCGGCGCACGTCATGGACCTGCCCCCCACGGGTTAGGATATAATGGAATTCTCTCTTTTTCTCATACGGATAATTTGCAAAATACCCCCATAAGTTGAGATATATGCCAAAACGCCCCTGAAAGATGTGGGCAGAGCGGAATGCCCTTTTGGACCGACATTTTGTGTTGTGCCCCTGTCAGGCGGGTGTGCAACTTTGCAATCTGGACCTCCCCGTTTGGGCCTTTGCCTTTTGCAAAAGCGCCTAGGAAAAGTTGTCAAGTACTGGGGCATTTCGCAACGTTGGATGGTACCCGGTAGCGGTATATTGCAAAGATGGGGGTCCAACCGACGCCAGGGGTATTTCACAACAAATTTATTTTGTCAGAGGGGCATTCCGCTCTACCCACATCTTTTAGGGCCAGTTTGGCAAATCTCAACTTTTGGGGGTATATTGCAAATTATCCCTTTCCCCAAAAAAAGAGGAAAACAAAAAAAGGAGAAAGTAGTCTGGAAACGTGGGGTTAGGCTTGGGGCCAGAGTGCCTCGCCCACACACCGCACTGAAAGATGGGAGGGGTCCCTCGGGACATCCGTTCAAATTGGAACGATACAGAGAAGATTAGCAAAGGAAAAAGAAAAGAAAAAGAAGAAAAGAAAAAAAAAGGTTTGGATGGACGCTCGGCCCGGTCCCAGCCTATACAAAATTCTCAGAATCGATGCACTCTCGATTTTGGAGACAAATCAAAGAGTAGTGGAGCAAGACCCATAGAGTGAGAGGGTCGTGGGGAAAGATGAGCAGTGTGCTGCTGTAGATTCATGCTGCAAGCCGCCGGCAGTCGAACCGTCTCTTTTTCGGCGAAGGAGCTGTGAACAGCTCCGCGCGAAAGAGGTAAGCCGCGATCTTATACTTCCTCCTCCTCCTCCTCCTTTTCCTCCTCTCTCTTTTGCCCTCGACTCTCCATCTTTCTTTCGACATTCGGGCGCAATATCCGTCTGCACCTGGGTAAATTTCCCATCTCTCTTCCCCATGGCGACCTAAGCTCCAGCTTCTTCAGCTCTCGTCATTGCGGGATGCCACCCCGCTCTGCTTGCGTGCCATTTCTTTCGCTCTCTCTCAATAACATCGGCGGCTCACTCCAGACAACCAGCTTATGCGAAGTTTTGTTGATTTGTGTTTGTGTCGCACGCACTCACACACTCACACACACACACGCACACACAACGTACGGTTATTATATCACACACACACAGAGAGAGAGAGAGAGAGAGAGAGAGAGAGAGAGAGAGAGAGAGAGAGAGAGAGAGAGAGAGAGAGAGAGAGAGAGAGAGAGA